AAAAAAAAAATCTTCTGGTTATACCTGCTAAAAACCTCTACTGCAAACAGGATGTAGAAGTACTTTTCACTTCTATGTTCATTTACATGCCAGTGACTTGGCCATTTTAAATGCATGCCTGAACAGCAGACAAACTCTTCTATATTGCGAAGGAGAAGCTCAAAATATTAGAGGTTTGATCTTGGGAATACTCTCTCCTCACAGGCTCAGCTCATGAGTTTCAAGGACACTCTGATCATCATGGTACTTTTATAGGGTCAGGTAGTGAGTTGCACAAAGACATTGAACTCGGGTGGCTGAGCTAGGAGAAAAGGCAGACGATTTCATTCTCACTCTAAACTATAAGATGAGAACCTGACTGATTCCACGCGTGCTGAGAAAGATGGGCTCCAGAACAAAGACCTGAAAGAAGAATTTTTTTTTTTTAATGCAAGCAAAAATTCTTCTATGGAGCTCTTTACTGTCTGTGTATTGGTAAAGTGCTATGAATAATTTTTCCCAGGTGTTTAAACAGGTGGCATCTTCGAGGGAAGCAGAGCTTCTTTCATGTTCCCTATAATTCGTGCTGTCTTAAACCTTCATCATCAATGTCGTGGGTGAACACTGAGTGCTCTAAATGTCTTTCCCATGAATATGTTCAGTACCAGGTTTCACTACTGGAATAGAAGTACTATAGTTTACTTATTTACAGGGAAGGAAATAACATGCTGGCTCTATTTGCTACTCCTCTATTTATTGTCTCTTCTTTTGTGCAGTATAAAAAAGTTAGTCATCTTCAACAACCCTTGTAAGTGAGCATGCCAAATATATTCTCCAATTCCACATAGATGAGCTGCTGATATTGCACATAATTTGGCTGGAGGAGATCAGAAGAGGCAGATCTAAATGACAAGGAATAAATCTTTGGCCAAAAAATATAAAAATCTATGGATGACTTTTGGAAACATAAGAGACGAGACATGCAGGAATGTGTCGTGCAGGTTCATGTGCTCATCTAGCCCCTACTTCACATCCACCCTGGATTCAAAGAGATGGCATATGAAACAGAGAGGATAGAGAAGCTTCTAATTAAAGCCTATGACTCAACATCAGATACCTTGGGCACGTTCAGAAGAGTGTGCACGTGGATTTGCCCGGGGTGGCAGTGGTGGTAACCTGGGCACGCAGAGCCTGCCTGGCAGATGGAAATCGGCTCTGGCCAGCCAGGCTCTGGTTTCAGGTAGCACATGCTACAGCCAGGTGCACCGCCCTGCTTTTTTTCCCCACGGTTTCTTTAGATACCTGGATTTTTCCAGTATCTAATTTTGCTGCCGCACTGCAAATATGCAGCACAGCGAACAGATCCACGTGCACCACTTGTGTTTTGCAGCACCTCAAAAGGCTTTGAGGCACTGCAAACTAGATATTTCCACTTATGTGGACACAGCTCTTAAGAGCGATTATCCATTGAGTTTTTTTATGCGCATCAGAGCATCACTACAAGTCATTTAGGCCAACCATTTCAAATGTGACAATTTAATACCAATTCCTAATTCCATGCTTAGAGACATAAGAGTGGTAGCTAAATTTCTAATCAAAGCGGTTTTTTCCCCACTGCAAGTATGCAAATTGGGTCACTGCCAGAGAATAACTATAGTGTTTGGCAACCATGTTTGAAAGTGTGAATGTATCTCTCCGAGTTTTTTTTTTTTTTGTTTCTCCATCTATATACATGATTAATGTCTTCCTATCTGAGCGGGCTATGATCTACAAATGAATTCATTCATATTTCTAAAGCACCATGAGCTGGAAGGTGCATGTAATTGCCCGAGTAGCTCCTTCCACGGACAACAGTTGGAAAAGGAAATTTGTGTAAGGTTCCCTGTTGAAGTCCATCAAATTCATACTGTAGTGGATGTAATATCCCTTCATCTGCAAACCAGGAGAACTGGCATGGTTTCTAGTCCCAAGTTTTCTAGCTCTCCCTCTCCCCACTCCCCCCGCCCCACACACACACACAAATACACGCTCTCGAATCTGCTAGGAAAATTTCCATGTGGCTTGGGTGTTTCCAACACTCACCGATGTCTACCTACTCTGTAGTCCTTCCTTCTGTCACACAGAGGACATCCCCACCATGGATGGTGCTACAGAGATAGCTGGTCTTCCTCATACTCTACCTTTGTAGAACAAGGAGAAACTAAGCATTGGTTTCAGGATAGAAACCTCAGGATGGCAAAATCTCTAGTCCTCAGAAGGAAAACAGTGCCATATGAAAGCGTCGCCTCTATCTCCGAGTACACGTGCTAGATCACACCCAAGATAGCAGCAGTTGGGGTCGGGCGGGAGGGTCCTTTGTTTAATTTAGAATGAAAAAATCATTGTCTGGTCTTGAGCA